ATTTTGCACACGCTAAACCCTTGTTCTTGCAGTTTTCACATGTTAGGCCCTTCTTCTTGCAATTTTGCACACGCTAGGCACTTGTTCTTCCAATTTTGCACACGCTGGGCCCTCATTCTTGCAATTTTGCACACGCTAGGCCCTTGTTCTTGCTATTTTGCACACGCTAGGCCCTTGTTCTTGCAATTTTGCACACGCTAGGCCCTTGTTCTTGCAATTTTGCACACGCTAGACCCTTGTTCTTGCAATTTTCCACACGTTAGGCCCTTCTTCTTGCAATTTTGCACACGCTAGACCCTTGTTCTTGCAATTTTGCACACGCTAGGCCCTTGTTCTTCCAATTTTGCACACGCTGGTCCCTTGTTCTTGCTATTTTTGCACACGCTAGACCCTTGTTCTTGCAATTTTGCACACGCTAGGCCCTTGTTCTTGCAATTTTGCACACGCTGGACCCTTGTTCTTGCAATTTTGCACACGCTAGTCCCTTGTTCTTGCAATTTTGCACACGCTAGGCCCTTGTTCTTGCAAGTTTGCACACGCTAGGCCCTTGTTCTTGCAATTTTGCACACGCTAGACCCTTGTTCTTGCAATTTTGCACACGCTAGGATCTTGTTCTTGCAATTTTGCACACGCTATGCCCTTGTTCTTGCTATTTTGCAGACGCTAGACCTTTGATCTTGCAATTTTGCACACGCTAGACCTTTGTTCTTGCAATTTTGTACACAGTAGGCCCTTGTTCTTGCAATTTTGCACACGGTAGGCCCTTATTCTTGCTATTTTGCACAAGGTAGGCCCTTGCTCTTTCTTTTTTGCACACGTTAGACCCTTGCTCTTGCAATTTTGCACACGCTAGGCCCTTGTTCTTGCAATTTTGCACACGGTAGGCCCTTGTTCTTGCAATTTTGCACACGCTAGGCCCTTGTTCTTGCAATTTTGCACACGCTAGGCCTTTGTTCTTGCAATTTTGCACACGCTAGGCCCTTGTTCTTGCTATTTTGCACACGGTAGACCCTTGTTCTAGCAATTTTGCACACGCTAGGCCCTTGTTCTTGCAATTTTGCACACGCTAGACCCTTGTTCTTGCAATTTTGCACACGTTAGGCCTTTGTTCTTGCAATTTTGCAAACGCTAGGCCCTTGTTCTTGCAATTTTGCACACGCTAGGCCCTTGTTCTTGCTATTTTGCACACGCTAGACCCTTGTTCTTGCAATTTTTCACACGCTAGGCCCTTGTTCTTGCTATTTTGCGCACGCTAGACCCTTGTTCTTGCCATTTTGCACACACTAGGCCCTTGTTCTTGCAATTTTGCACACACTAGACCCGTGTTCTTGCAATTTTGCACACGCTAGGCGCTTATTCTTGCAATTTTGCACACGCTAGGCCCTTGTTCTTGCTATTTTGCACACGCTAGGCCCTTGTTCTTGCTATTTTGCACACGCTAGGCCCTTTTTCTTGCTATTTTGCACACGCTAGACCCTTGTTCTAGCAATTTTGCACACGCTAGGCCCTTGTTCTTGCAATTTTGCACACGCTAGACCCTTGTTCTTGCAATTTTGCACACGTTAGGCCTTTGTTCTTGCAATTTTGCACACGCTAGGCCCTTGTTCTTGCAATTTCACACACGTTAGGCTCTTGTTGTTGCAATTTTGCACACGCTAGGCCCTTGTTCTTGCTATTTTGCACACGATAGACCCTTGTTCTTGCTATTTTGCACACGCTAGGCCCTTGTTCTTGCAATTTTGCACACGCTAGGCCCTTGTTCTTGCAATTTTGCACACGCTAGGCCCTTGTTCTTGCAATTTTGCACACGCTAGGCCCTTGTTCTTTCTATTTTGCACACGCTAGACCCTTGTTCTTGCAATTTTGCACACGCTAGACCCTTGTTCTTGCAATTTTGCACACGCTAGGCCCTTGTTCTTGCAATTTTGCACAAGCTAGGCCCTTGTTCTTGCAATTTTGCACACGCTAGGCCCTTGTTCTTGCTATTTTGCACACGCTAGACCCTTGTTCTTGCAATTTTGCACACGCTAGGCCCTTGTTCTTGCAATTTTGCACACACTAGACCCTTGTTCTTGCAATTTTGCACACGTTAGGCCTTTGTTGTTGCAATTTTTCACACGCTAGCCCCTTGTTCTTGCAATTTTGCACGCGTTAGGCTCTTGTTCTTGCAATTTTACACACGCTAGGCCCTTGTTCTTGCTATTTTGCACACGCTATGCCCTTTTTCTTGCTATTTTGCACACGCTAGACCCTTGTTCTTGCAAGTTTGCACACGCTAGGCCCTCGTTCTTGCAATTTTGCACACGCTAGGCCCTTGTTCTTGCTATTTTGCACACGCTAGACCCTTGTTCTTGCAATTTTGCACACGCTAGGCCTTTGTTCTTGCTATTTTGCACACGCTAGGCCCTTCTTCTTGCAATTTTGCACACGCTAGGCCCTTGTTCTTGCTATTTTGCACACGCTAGACCCTTGTCCTTGCAATTTTGCACACGCTAGGCCCTTCTTCTTGCAATTTTGCACACGCTAGGCCCTTTTTCTTGCAATTTTGCACACGCTAGGCCCTTGTTCTTGCTATTTTTCACACGCTAGGCCCTTGTTCTTGCAATTTTGCACACGCTAGGCCCTTGTTCTTGCAATTTTGTACACGCTAGGCCCTTGTTCTTGCAATTTTGCAAACGCTAAGCCCTTGTTCTTGCAATTTTGCACACGCTAGGCCCTTGTTCTTGCTATTTTGCACACACTAGACCCTTGTTCTTGCAATTTTGCACACGCTAGGCCCTTGTTCTTGCTATTTTGCACACGCTAGACCCTTGTCCTTGCAATTTTGCACACGCTAGGCCCTTCTTCTTGCAATTTTGCACACGCTAGGCCCTTTTTCGTGCAATTTTGCACACGCTAGGCCCTTGTTCTTGCTATTTTTCACACGCTAGGCCCTTGTTCTTGCAATTTTGCACACGCTAGGCCCTTGTTCTTGCAATTTTGTACACGCTAGGCCCTTGTTCTTGCAATTTTGCAAACGCTAGGCCCTTGTTCTTGCAATTTTGCACACGCTAGGCCCTTGTTCTTGCTATTTTGCACACGCTAGACCCTTGTTCTTGCAATGTTTCACACGCTAGGCCCTTGTTCTTGCTATTTTGCGCATGCTAGACCCTTGTTCTTGCAATTTTGCACACACTAGGCCCTTGTTCTTGCAATTTTGCACACACTAGACCCGTGTTCTTGCAATTTTGCACACGCTAGGCGCTTATTCTTGCAATTTTGCACACACTAGGCCCTTGTTCTTGCTATTTTGCACACGCTAGGCCCTTGTTCTTGCTATTTTGCACACGCTAGGCCCTTGTTCTTGCTATTTTGCACACGCTAGACCCTTGTTCTAGCAATTTTGCACACGCTAGGCCCTTGTTCTTGCAATTTTGCACACGCTAGACCCTTGTTCTTGCAATTTTGCACACGTTAGGCCTTTGTTCTTGCAATTTTGCACACGCTAGGCCCTTGTTCTTGCAATTTCGCACACGTTAGGCTCTTGTTGATGCAATTTTGCACACGCTAGGCCCTTGTTCTTGCTATTTTGCACACGATAGACCCTTGTTCTTGCTATTTTGCACACGCTAGGCCCTTGTTCTTGCAATTTTGCACACGCTAGGCCCTTGTTCTTGCAATTTTGCACACGCTAGGCCCTTGTTCTTGCAATTTTGCACACGCTAGACCCTTGTTCTTTCTATTTTGCACACGCTAGACCCTTGTTCTTGCAATTTTGCACACGCTAGACCCTTGTTCTTGCAATTTTGCACACGCTAGGCCCTTGTTCTTGCAATTTTGCACAAGCTAGGCCCTTGTTCTTGCAATTTTGCACATGCTAGGCCTTTGTTCTTGCTATTTTGCACACGCTAGACCCTTGTTCTTGCAATTTTGCACACGCTAGGCCCTTGTTCTTGCAATTTTGCACACACTAGACCCTTGTTCTTGCAATTTTGCACACGTTAGGCCTTTGTTGTTGCAATTTTGCACACGCTAGCCCCTTGTTCTTGCAATTTTGCACGCGTTAGGCTCTTGTTCTTGCAATTTTACACACGCTAGGCCCTTGTTCTTGCTATTTTGCACACGATAGACCCTTGTTCTTGCAATTTTGCACACGCTATGCCCTTTTTCTTGCTATTTTGCACACGCTAGACCCTTGTTCTTGCAAGTTTGCACACGCTAGGCCCTCGTTCTTGCAATTTTGCACACGCTAGGCCCTTGTTCTTGCTATTTTGCACACGCTAGACCCTTGTTCTTGCAATTTTGCACACGCTAGGCCTTTGTTCTTGCTATTTTGCACACGCTAGGCCCTTCTTCTTGCAATTTTGCACACGCTAGGCCCTTGTTCTTGCTATTTTGCACACGCTAGACCCTTGTCCTTGCAATTTTGCACACGCTAGGCCCTTCTTCTTGCAATTTTGCACACGCTAGGCCCTTTTTCTTGCAATTTTGCACACGCTAGGCCCTTGTTCTTGCTATTTTTCACACGCTAGGCCCTTGTTCTTGCAATTTTGCACACGCTAGGCCCTTGTTCTTGCAATTTTGTACACGCTAGGCCCTTGTTCTTGCAATTTTGCAAACGCTAAGCCCTTGTTCTTGCAATTTTGCACACGCTAGGCTCTTGTTCTTGCTATTTTGCACACACTAGACCCTTGTTCTTGCAATTTTGCACACGCTAGGCCCTTGTTCTTGCTATTTTGCGCACGCTAGACCCTTCTTCTTGCAATTTTGCACACACTAGGCCCTTGTTCTTGCAGTTTTGCACACACTAGACCCGTGTTCTTGCAATTTTGCACACGTTAGGCGCTTATTCTTGCAATTTTGCACACGCTAGGCCCTTGTTCTTGCTATTTTGCACACGCTAGACCCTTGTTCTTGCAATTTTGCACACGCTAGGCCCTTGTTCTTGCAACTTTGCACACGCTAGGCCCTTATTCAGGCAGTTTTGCACACGCAAGGCCTTTATTCTTGCAATTTTGCACATGCTAGGCCCTTGTTCTTGCAATTTTGCACACGCTAGGCCCTGTCAGATTATTATAGCTATTGCATGTTTGTAGGCTGTAGTGGGGCAGCACATATGGGGTACAGTTTGCTAGGGTTGTATTTGTACCCAACTCTGACTTAGTCAATCCATTCCTGTTCATTCCTTTCACATGGTATCAGAGCGGGTTCCCTGTGGGAACTTCGCCTAGGGCCCACCGAAGCGCGCCCCGAGGCGCGCGATCCTTTTTTTTTAGCGACCCCCCCGAGTCGCCCTTCCCTTGCGGCCCCGCCGCCCTTCGTTCGCGGCCCCGCCGTCTAGTCGCGGCCCCGCCCTTACGTCGCGGCCCCGCCACTAAGTCGCGGCCCCGCCACTAAGACGCGGCCCCGCCACCCAGTCGCGGCCCCGCCGCCTACTCGGACGCGGCCCCGCCGCCTGCTAAGACGCGGCCCCGCCGCCTGCCAAGACGCGGCCCCGCCGCCTGCTAAGGCGCGGCCCCGCCGCCTACTCAGCCGCGGCCCCGCCGCCCTCTACGACGCGGCCTCCGCCGCCTGCAGACGCCGCGGCCTCCGCCGCCTGCTCAGCCGCGACCCCGCCGCTCGCTACGACGCGGCCTCCGCCGCCTGCTCAGCCGCGGCCCCGCCGCCCTCTACGACACGGCCTCTGCCGCCTGCTCAGCCACGGCCCTGCCGCCTCCTACGACGCGGCCCCGCAGCCTGCTCAGCCGCGGGTGCTTCCAGCGGCCCTCCGCTGCATCCTGACGGCCCGCCGCTGCACCCTGCGGCCCCGCCACTGCGCCTGTCCCGGCTCCGCCACTGCACCCTGACGGCCCCGCCGTCCCCTGTCTCGGCCCCACCGCTGCACCCTGACGGCCCGGCCGTCCCTTGTCCCGGCCCCGCCACTACACTGCAGCCGAGCCGCCCAGCAGCAGCCGAGCCGCCCAACAGCAGCCGAGCCGCCCAGCAGCAGCCGAGCCGCCCAGCAGCAGCCGAGCCGCCCAGCAGCAGCCGAGCCGCCCAGCAGCAGCCGAACCGCCCAGCAGCAGCCGAGCCGCCCAGCAGCAGCCGAGCCGCCCGGTACCTGCGCCGCCCGAGCCGCCCGAGCCGCCCGAGCCGCCCGAGTCGCCCGAGCCGCCCGAGCCGCCCGAGCCGCCCGAGCAGCCCGAGCCGCCTGCTGCTGACCTACCCGACTCTCCCATCCCGGTGAGACTTTCAGCTGCTGCCATGGCCACCCCCAATGTTCTCACTTTTGACGCTGAGGGGAGGGCCATTGACTTTGCCGTCTGGATCGAGGACCTGCAGCTGTACTTACTGTGTGATGCGGTAGATGAGGTCTCTCTCTTTGACTTTGTCTCTGGCGCTGTCCCTGCCCCGCCTGCTGATGCTGACTCTGCCGTTCGCTCCAAGTGGGCGACCCGCGATGCTGCTGCACGTCTTGCTGTGCGTCGCCACCTCCCTTCCTCTGAGCGTGCCCACTTTAGTCAGTGCAAGACCGCTCAGGCCTTGTACGACGCTGTAGTTGCGCGCTACTCCTCCCCTTCCTCCGCTACCCTTAGCCGCCTCATGCTACCGTTTCTCTTCCCTGACCTCGCTTCCTTTCCCACTGTCGCTGACCTCGTTACCCACCTCCGCGCTAGTGACACCCGCTACCGCGCTGCCCTTCCTGCTGAGTTCCGCGCTGCGAACCCTCCTCCCATGTACATCACTCTCTACTTTCTCGTCACCCGTCTCCCTGAGTCCCTTCGTGTCGTTAGGGACCGGTTTCTCTCTGTCTGTCCCACCACTCTCACTGTCGACCTCCTTGAGGAGTCCCTGCTAGCGGCTGAGAAGAGTATTGTCGCTGTAGGGGCCTCTCGGGGTGACCCTCGCACCCCCATCTTTGAGGGGTGTGGTCCCTCCCCCCTGCTGCCCTCTGTCGCCTCTGCCGCTGCGGCCGACCTCGTTGGTTTTGAGTCGGTCGGCGCGGCGTCTGCCCCCAGTGGCAGACGCCGCACTGGCAAGGGCAAGGGGTACAAGGGAGCGGGTGGAGCCAGAGGGGGCGGTGGAGGAGGCGGTGGGGGTGGAGGGGGGAGTGGGGGTGGCGGGGGGGGTGGTGGCGGGAGTGGAGGTAGTAGTGGCGGCGGTGGAGGCGGAGGTGGCGGCGGAGGTGGTAGCGGAGGAGGCGGTGGGAGCGGTGGGAGCGACGGTCCTGGTGGGGGAGGTGGCGGTGGCGACGGGGGTGGCGGTGGAGGCGGGGGTAGCGGTGGAGGAGGGGGTCGGAGTGGCTCGTCCCAGCGGAGCAGCTCTGGGGGTGGTCAGCGCCAGCAGCAGCAGCAGCAGCAGCCGCAGCAGCAGCCGCAGCAGCAGCAGCGCTCTCGCACCGTCCCCGGCCCTCAGCAGCTCCGTGAGTGGTACTTGAAGCGTCAGCGCGGTGGTGCGCTTGGTCCCTGCCCCTACGTTCTTCGCACTGGTGACCGTGCAGGGGAGAGGTGTGGAGGCGCCCACACAGCCCGTCGCTGCTTTGGCCGCCTGACCGACGCCTGGCGTCAGCAGTTTCCGGAGGCCGCTGAGATCCCCCGCTGGGGAGAGCTGTCTAGGGCTGGTGTAGCTATTTATGATCTTGATTTTGATGCTATTCTCTCTGCTATGTATGCTGTGACTGGTAGTGATGAGGATGACTGTTACCGGTGTTTCCCGCCCGACCCGGGCATTGGTACTGCCGCGTCAGGTACTAGTGAGGCTGCTGCTCTAGGTGCCAGTGCGTCTGTGCTTTCAGGTACTGGTGAGTCCGCCCTCTCAGGTACTGTGTCGGCTTCGGCCTCTCACACCTTCACCCTTGACTCTGGAGCGTCTCGCTCCTTCTTTAGGGACCGCACCACTCTCACGCCGCTGAGTCGGCCTGTTGCGGTGTCCCTGGCGGACCCCTCTGGGGGGCCTGTCCTGTCTCGCTTCTCCACTGTCCTCCCGTGTCCGGCGGCCCCCTCTGGCACCCTGACTGGTCTCTACCTCCCCTCGTTCTCGACGAACTTGGTGAGTGGTGCTGACCTCCAGGATGCAGGTGTCCACCAGTTCACCCCTGCTCGTCAGCGGGTGACCCACTGTACGGAGGCGGATACAGGTCGCCACCTGGCTACGTTTACACGTCGGCCGGGGTCGAGCCTGTACACACTGACCACTGCTTCTCCTCCAGGTACTGCGTCTGGTAGGGCCCCTTCGTCTGGTCAGGTGTTTGCTGCAGCGTCCAGGTCTGGTCCTGAGTCTGCCCCTTGTTCGTGTCGTCGTCTGTCTCACGAGACCCTCCTCTGGCACCACCGCCTTGGCCACCCCTCTCTGCTTCGGCTCAGAGGCATGGCCTCGCGGGTCCTTGTGTCTGGTCTTCCCCGGTCCCTCCCTCCCCTTCCTCCGGGCCCTGGCCCTGCCTGTGTCCCCTGTGTCGAGGGGCGCCAGCGTGCTGCCCCTCACTCCTCCCAGTTTCCTCCGACAGAGGCCCCGTTGCAGACGCTTCACATGGACGTGTGGGGCCCAGCCCGCGTCCGTGGACAGGGTCAGGAGCGCTACTTCCTGCTGGTGGTTGACGACTACTCGCGTTACACCACAGTCTTCCCCTTGCGCAGCAAGGGTGAGGTCACTCAGGTGTTGATCGACTGGATCCGCGCAGCTCGTCTTCAGCTTCGGAGAAGCTTTGGCTCTGACTTCCCTGTCTTGCGTCTGCACTCGGACAGAGGCGGAGAGTTCTCCTCTGCCCTCCTGAGTGCCTACTGTCGTGTGCGAGGCATCCGTCAGACCTTCACGCTTCCGGACTCACCACAGCAGAATGGGATCGCTGAGCGCCGCATTGGCATGGTCATGGACGTCGCTCGTACGTCCATGATGCATGCGGCTGCTCCCCATTTTCTGTGGCCGTTTGCGGTCAGGTACGCTGCGCACCAGATCAACCTCCACCCCAGGGTCTCTCGACCGGAGACCTCCCCAGCTCTGTTGTGGACGGGGAAGGTTGGCGATGCGTCTGCGTTCCATGTCTGGGGATCTCGGGCGTTTGTCCGCGACCTGTCTGCGGACAAGCTGTCCCCTCGTGCTTCTCCCTGCGTCTTCCTCGGGTTCCCCCCCGACGCCCCTGGGTGGCAGTTTTACCACCCCACCTCTCGACGTGTTCTGTCCTCCCAGGACGTCACGTTCGACGAGTCGGTACCCTACTACCGCCTCTTCCCCTACCGCACTCCGTCCCTCCCCCCACCCCCGCTCTTCTTGGTACCAGGTCCCCCCCCAGTAGTCCCCCTCCCCCCTCAGGGTCCTGCCCCTTCAGGTGTGTCTCAGGTAGACGCGGTCGAGCCTGTCGAGGTCACTAGTGACTCCGGTGCTGCTGCGGGAGCTGAGCCTGGGGGTGCGGAGTCTCGGGGTGCTGAGCCTGGGGGTGCTGAGCCTGGGGGTGCGGAGTCTGGGGGTGCTGGGCCTGGGGGTGCTGGGCCTGGGGGTGCTGAGCCTGGGGGTGCTGAGCCTGGGGGTGCTGAGCCTGGAGGTGCCGAGCCTGGAGGTGCTGTGCCTCGGGGTGCTTCGTCTCGCCGGGAGCCGCTCTCTCCACAGGAGCTGCGTGAGTGGTTTGCCCGGCGCTGGAGGCGTGCCGCTGGTGCTGGTGGTTCTTCGGCTGTGGAGGGCGCTGCTGCCACGCGACCTGGCGGTGCTCGTCCTGTGGGTGCTGGAGCTGCTGGGTCTGAGGGTTCTCCTGGAGCTGGTCCTGCTGAGGACGTTGGCGCTGAGCCTGCGGTTGGTGGTCCGACTGACGGTGCTCCTGGTGCTGCTGCTCGAGGTTCTGGAGCTTCTGGTGGTTCTGCTGGAGGTGCTGCTGGAGTGGGTGCTCCGGCCGGAGCTGCTGGTTCTGTTCCTGCTGTTTCTGGCGTCGCCGCGCGGTCTTGCCCGTACTTCGTTCCGCTCTTGGAGCAGGTTCTTGGTCTTGCTCCTCCTCCTCCTCCCTTAGAGGGTCCGCAGCCTGTCCGGTCACAGCCACAGCTAGAGCCTGCCTCCCCTTTGCCTGCTCCTTCTCCCTACGCTGGTCCGACTGGAGGCCTTACTGAGCGTCGTGAGCCTGCGTCTCGTCCTGCGTCGCCTGTTCGTACTGAGCGCGCTAGTGGTCGCGGGTCGCGTCAGCGTCCTCCTCCTGTCCCTGGCACTGCGTCCGTCCACTGCCCCTCTGCGTGCCCCTTTGCCTTCTCCTCCTGCTTCCTCTCTTCCTGCTCTTGCCGACCCGGAGTCAGACTCTCTTCGTGCTGCCAGTCCTACTGTCACGCGTCTCCTTGCTACTGCTGTCACTGACCCTTCCTTCGCGTCGTCTGCTGCGTCTGCCCTTGTCACTGAGCTTGTCGACTTTGCTGCGCGCTGTCGTCTAGACTACGCTGCTCGTCTTGTCGCTGAGTCAGAGTCCGCCTGTCCTCCGTCCGTCGGGGGTGAGTGTGCCCTTGGCACGGACGTCCTAGAGGACAGGCAGGAGGAGTTCCAGTGTCTAGCCGCTGCTTCACCTCGTCTCGCGTCTGTACTGCTAGCCCCTGAGGGAGACCCGGATGCACTAGACATCCCGACTCCGCGTTCTTACGCGGAGGCCGTAGAGGGTCCCTACTCCTCTCAGTGGCAGGCAGCTATGGATGCAGAGATGGCTTCCTGGAAGTCCACAGGCACCTACGTTGACGCGGTTCCCCCTCCTGGGGCGAACATCGTCAGTGGCATGTGGATCTTCAGGGTGAAGCGGCCGCCGGGCTCGCCGCCTGTCTTCAAGGCGCGTTACGTGGCTCGTGGCTTCAGTCAGCGGCAGGGAGTTGACTACTTTCAGACCTTCTCTCCCACCCCGAAGATGACCACTCTTCGGGTGCTGCTGCACATTGCCGCTCAGCGCGACTACGAGCTTCACTCTCTCGACTTCAGCACTGCGTTCCTGCAGGGTAGCCTGCACGAGGAGATCTGGCTGCGCCGTCCGCCTGGCTTCACTGGGACTTTCCCTCCTGGCACCCAGTGGAGCCTCCGACGGCCAGTCTACGGTCTCCGCCAGGCACCGCGTGAGTGGCACGACACACTGAGGACTACGCTTGCGGCTCTTGGGTTTGCTCCTTCTACTGCTGACCCGTCGCTGTTTCTTCGCACCGACACTTCCCTGCCGCCGTTCTACATCCTCGTGTACGTCGACGACTTGGTCTTTGCCACAGCGGACACTGCTGGACTCGCCTACGTGAAGTCCGAGCTGCTGAAGAGACACACGTGCACAGACCTGGGTGAACTGCGCAGCTACCTTGGCTTGCAGATCACTCGGGACAGAGCACGCCGCACCATTACCCTGACTCAGTCACACATGGTGCAGCAGGTCCTTCAGCGCTTCGGCTTCACGTACTCCTCGCCTCAGGCCACTCCTCTGCCTACTCGCCACTCACTCTCAGCTCTGCCTTTGGATGAGTCCGTAGAGTCGAGTGGTCCGTATGCAGAGCTTGTTGGCTGCCTCATGTACCTGATGACCTGCACACGACCTGACCTTGCATACCCTCTGAGCATCCTTGCACGCTATGTTGCTCCTGGGAGACACCGACCAGAGCACATGGCTGCAGCGAAGAGGGTATTGCGCTACCTGTGCAGTACGTCGGGCATGGGGCTAGTGCTTGGAGGGCGGAGTCCAGTGGTCCTTACTGGGCACGCAGACGCTTCTTGGGCTGACGACCAGACTACGCAGCGGTCGTCACAGGGTTACACCTTCAGCCTTGGTTCCGGCTCTGTCTCGTGGCGGTCTACTCGCTCGTCTTCGGTTCTCGGCTCCAGTTGTGAGGCTGAGATCTACGCCGGGGCCATGGCTGCACAGGAGCTTCGCTGGCTCACCTACCTGCTGACTGACCTTGGAGAGCTGCCTCGTTCTCCTCCAGTGCTGTACGTAGACAACAAGGCCATGTTGGCCTTGTGTCGAGAGCAGCGCTTGGAGCACAGAACAAAGCACATTGCTCTCCGCTACTTCCTTGCTCGTGAGCTGCAGCAGCGTGGTCAGTTGCGACTTGCTTACGTGGCCTCTGAGGCCAACACTGCTGATGTGTTCACCAAGGGACTTGCGCCTTGTGACCATCAGCGCTTTTGTACCCAGCTGGGTCTTGTACCTGTCTTGCCTCACTTGCTCTCTTCTTGACTTTACTTGTACTTTGACATATATATACCTGCTCTTGCTTGTCTAGTTTTATATATATGTCTGTACTCCTGCATGTGAACTGGCCTCTGGCCTTGCTCTTGTGCTCGGACTGTGTGGTGACTTTGTGATCCACCCTGAGCTTGCTTTGCTTTGCTTGACTGGTCTTGTGACCCCTTGTTCTCCCCCACTTTGCCTATGGGGGTGTGTCAGATTATTATAGCTGATGCATGTTTGTAGGCTGTAGTGGGGCAGCACATATGGGGTACAGTTTGCTA